GCCGGGTAGCGGTGTCTGAGGGAGGCGGCTGACGCGCTGTGCAGTGCGTTTCCGTCAGCGATTGCCGGCGTTACGGGCTTTGCCTCGCAGGGACGAGGAGGGAGCAGCCCCGGCCGGTCCGGTTGCAGTAACTCTGGTGCGAGCTGCGGGGAGCGCACTCCGGCGGCTGGAGTCAGTCCCGTTACCGGCTTCAGAAAGTATCTGCTGGCAGAACCACCACAGAAATGTCTTTGAAAGGGCTGAAAGAGTTATAAGTCTAGCCTCACGTCGATTCCCATCCTCACGGTTGACAAACTCCCGTGATAATGTGTGAGGTGTTACCCGCTTCCGCTTTTCCTCAGGTGATCCCTTGCCCCCAGCCTTGCTTTGCATCACGTCCTCCACATAACGGACTTGAATCACCTCCACAAGCTCCTGAAGAACAAACACCCTCGCCTGTTCCTCTACAGCTGCAGTGGTTTTAGTATTATTATGTTGGCAGATGAGATTCAACTATTTTTTCAGTCAAAAAATTACAAATGGATTGTAAAACCAGCTGAGGAAATGCAATTGCGATGCAGTTCATGCACTAGGACACTCCTCTCCTCATCTCCATTTCACCAGTCATTCTCTACATAGACTATTCTGATAGTTCCCAATTGCCAATAATATTTTTCATTCACAAATTATTTATACTCATTCCATGTTCATAACTTAAACATCCTCTTTTTTCTCTCTAGTTGTGATACATTATGTCCTTGCTTAGGCATCTTTCACTTTTCCAACCTTTTTTTTTTCCCTCTTTTTCTACTTCCATTCCCTCCAAAATGCTACTTCTGAGTCCTCCCTCCCTCGCCTGTGACACTTGACTATTCTCCAGCAGCTCCTCTGTTGGCAAATGTTTTTCACATTTGAAACCCTAAATTAAATTCCTCTGACATTATATCTTTGTTGTAGCACTAGCAACTTGCACCAGCTGGTGCAATTCTGCATACATCAGCTTTATTGTTTCACTCTGTGTTGATGCTGTGACAGGACTGGAACCAGACATGGTATACAAACACCCCAAGATTCACCTGGTGCTTTGAGAGTACAGTCATTGCTTGGATGCCTTGTGCCTATCTTTGGATCTGTTTTCCTTTCTACTTGTTGTATCTTCGACACAAAAACAAAGGATATATCAGGATGTCCTACATCTTCAAAACCAAAATGGTAAGGGTGCAAGATGGGGTTTGAGCCTAACATTATCAAAATTTGATGCAGAACTTAATTTTTCTAAATCATTAAGTCTTTTCTGATGATCCATTTCTGTGTTTGCTTTGACATTTCCTGACTCAGGTGAAGTCAGGTCAGTATAAATCAAGTAAAGTCTAAGGAAGAACTGTTGTAAGATCTTCTCCCCTATACTTCTCTTTGGTTCCTCACTACCTCCTATAACACTCTCTATCTCAAACCTGCTCTTCCACCTCTCCAGTCTTACTGCCCAGGCTGCTTGGGCATTCAGTTCAGTAGATTGTCCCATCATCATTTCAGTCCATTCCAACGTGTGTTTGCTGTCTCTGCCCAGGTCCTTGGATTCATCCTGGTAACAGTGTGTTTTTCTAATGTCTTCTTCGCACTGTGGGAAATAAACCAAGGAATCCCACGGGCTCCAGCATTCTTCGTTAGCCCTGCTGTGGTGGGAATCACAATGGTAATTCTTCCTTTTTTTTGTCTGCATGTGGCCCAGCTTAGCCCTCCTAGGGTGGATATTGTATTCTCCATGTTTCTCAGTGTCTTTGAAAACAAAGACTGCTGAAGGGGTGTAGAAGGCTGGAGACGTGCTTTGTGAGCTTCTGCTGTGACGCATCAGGGCTTTGGAGCTGGGGCAGACCGCTGGGTCTGCAGCTATGGTACAGAGCCCTGTGGGCAGAGTACACCTCACAAGAGCCGAGGTAGCAGTAGTGTTCAGAAAGAGGTCTCCCAACAACAGGTTAGGTTTCTCCTAACCACGGTATGCGATTTAGCATGGTTTAGCATGAAATGGGATTTCTTTCAACCTAAAAGCCTATCCGCCCCTTCTGTCACTGTGTCTTCATAGCCCAGATCCTCCCAGCCTGTTGGCCTACTTGTGGTTTTATTACTTGTCCTTTCTGGTGAGACATTCTTGAGTGCAAAATTGCACATAATGCTTTTCCATTTTAGCCTTTTATGAACAACACTATCACTCTGAACATCTTGAAATGTTTGGGCAAGAAATGAACTGATTTTTCTCTATTGTATCCATTAATTTTGTAATAATGTTTGGCATTCCATTACCAGCTATTTATTTGGACAAGTTTGTACTTCCTCACAGATCCTTGCCATGTTCCTTACCCAAGTGGAGAGAATGATGGGCATCCAGTCTTCGGGTATCCTGTTGATTTACTGGCTGCTCTCATTCGTGGCTGCAGTTGTAATGTTTAGTTCCAAAGTCCAACATGCCCTGGAAAGAGTAAGTGAAATCATGTATCTTTAGCATGCAGGGGTATGAAGTCTCTAAAAAACAGGGCTCTTTTTGCCTCATGGATTGTGAGGTAGAGAATCAAAGTCCTCTCTTAACATATGTGCTGAGAAAAATGGTTGATGACACTTTGTCATCTCCATCCATGTTATCCCTTTCAGTGTAGACAGAGTGTGGTTTTCTGAGAGCTTGGCAGACAGCATATATGAATAAAAGCAAAATGAACTTAAAAGCTGTCACTGAAAACTAGCCTTAAGCCAGATTTTGTATCAGCATAGATATGTTGATATATTACACATTTTTATTCTTTGGGTATTTGTGGTGAATGTTTATTTGTGGAGGAGTGCTGGCTGGGTTTACACATCTGAGACTTAGAGTCAGTGGCCATTTTGCCAGGTGAAAAATTGTACTTTTCCATCACAACAAGGAAGAAGCAAGAGTCTATGTTACCTGTGCATTTAAATAATAGGGGGAAGATCTGTGGCCACTAAACAAAAGACAGTTGAGAACTTGGTTGTTCCTGCTGGGTTGCGTGACACTCGGGCACCAGGCCTCTTGTAGAAACTTTGCCACGTCTTGCTACCAAAATACAGTTGCAAAATGCTCAGACTTTTTCCTTAGTCTTTCTCTTTCTCATTCACAAAATTAATTAGAGAGCCCATCACGGAGCCCCTCAGACACAGCATCTATAATAAAGCCTGGCAGGTGCTTTATTGTATCAACAACTCATCCCACTAGGTGAGCAAGGAGCTTCTATCCTTCAGAGCACCCAAAGTTCCCTGAATAATGATGCAGTGTGGATGGCTGACTTGACTAGACTGCTGTGAAGCCTCATGATAAAACTGTCACTATAAATAACAAATGTGTCCATTATTTAGCATTTTCTGATATTCCAGTTTCCGGAGTTATCTATTTAAGTAGCCCTACAGTAACTAACTACAGTTTAAATAAATAACTACAGTTTAAATAAATGCATCTCATGCTTCAAACCACAACTCAGAGCTTATGGCTGGTAGAGCATGAGAAGCCATCTCTCTCCACTGATTGCACATGAAGGTTTTTCCCTCATTCTCAACAGTGTTCTGTTTCTTAGGGCTTCCTGGAAGACCATTTCCGCCACGTTACAACTTACCTTTATGCTAGCCTGGTACTAGGAGAACTTGTATTATTCTGCTTAGTTGATCACTCTCCCTTCTTCTCTAGAGCTGTCAACAACCCTGTAAGTATAACATTGCTTTTCATAATGCATTGCGTTATTGCTTAAACAGGAATTTAAATTTACGGGGATACAGAGGAACATGAGTATCTGGGAGATATAAGATACATTGTTCTGTATACAGGCCGACAGTTTTAAAAGGTAACCAACAGAATTTGTGATAAAAATACTCTGTCTCTCTATGTATGTTTTGAAACACTAAAAACGTCTTCTGTCCATACTTGTGTTTATTTTCATTGAAACCAGCAGATAGGGCTCACATTGCTTCCCCATGCTCTCCTGCACAGTAGTATTCTATCTGAGGTATGAGCATGGCAGAGCTCTGTGCTTCAGAAAAGAAATGTCTTTGGGTATGCAGAATGATATTCTTCATTCCTCTGAGACATTATTCAAAATCTAATGCTCCAAAGTCTCCGGATCCCATTGATCCTCCATGACACATTTACACTGTCAGGGTCAATGAATGGGGCGTGTGTAACTTTCTGATTGCTTTTCCTGGGGAAGCACAGAAGGGGACTATAGTCATCTGACACATGTCCTTTTCTATATATAAATATCATTCATGTTTTTCCTCCCATCAGAATCAGTGTCCAGAAGCCAGCAGCTCTTTTCTTTCCAAAATCACATACTGGTGGTTCTCTGGGTAAGCAAACAGAAAAACAACTGGTTTTGCTAGAATATCAGAAAAAATCAGCAGCATAAGAGAGGGTGTAGGCGACAGACAGTAGGAAATATTCCAGCCCCTGAGTTAGCTTATGCAGTGAGGATTTAAACTCTTTCTCTGGGGACCTGGGATATTCTCGCAAGATCAATTTATAAAAATTTAACTTACTTTTCTCAAAATAGTTCAAAACACAAATTTGTGATTCCAGATAATTCTCTTCCCTCTTCCAGCTACCCTTCCAGTGCCCTCCCAATCTTGAAAAAGACCTCAGCGGTCTCAAAAGATCCCTGTACACCAGCCACAGTCCTGTCTGCCTGCCAGACCTTCCTATAAACAAATGCTGGGCAAGGGAAAAATAGTGAATGAGTACATTGGCCCAGCCTGCTACTTAGCATTTGGAAGTAAAACGATTACATACTTTGGGGCTAATGTCTGCTACGATAAGGCCTCAACTGTGTTTCACTGAGCCACAGAGCAAGTTAAACTGAACTTTGTCCCCTGCTGCCCAAGACCCCACTCTCAGTATAGACTAGAAATTAGGGCTTACTTTCAAATCCTCATTGTGATGACAGAAGACAGCACAGAGTTTTGAAGCAAAACTGCTGTTCCTGAACATTCATATTTATTCTGGGAAAGGATAGTCCCAAGTAGTGTTTTATGTAAGTCCCTATATGCTCACTGTGCTGCACTAAGTTAAAGCCCATCTGTTTTGAAAATGTTACAGCACAACAAATCCTTCTGTGCTTACCTTACAGCAGTCTGTATGTTCTGCAGGCTTGTCTGGAAAGGCTGCCAGCAGTCCTTGGGGGGGGATGACTTGTGGCCCGTGAGGAAAGAGGACTCCTCTGAAGAAATTGTTGCCTGGGCTGAAAGAGAGTGGAAGCAGTGTCACAGCAGAACTCAGCAGTAAGTACTTGATCTAGAGAGTGTGTCATGGACTCAGCTGGGCAGTTTCTCTCTTGCCTCTAGATGATATAAGCAAATACACTGACAGATGTTAGTGTGCCACGAAGAACAGGCTTTAATCCCCTGCATTCCCCATGAGTGCTAGACAGACCGCTTCAGCACGTATTCAGGCTCTGAACATTAAGTTCTTCTAGGTGCTTCCTATCTGGATAAGAGAATGGTTGAAAGATTTAATCCCACTGAATTATTTGTCCATTAAACAATAAGAAAAGGATAGCATACATAAAATGGTCCAAGTAATGCTCTGCTAATGAAAATGTAGGGGGTCTTTACTCTTCAGTGGGTGACCACTCAGTGAGTGAGTTCCTTTGTGCAAAATCTGATTTTAAGTGTTGAAATCTGCTGGAGAACACCCTTCCATTCCTAGAAGCAAGGAACTGTAAGTTTTTAATGAGAGGGATCATTTTTTGATGAGCATTTTTACTGGATGTGGCATTAGTACCAGTGTGAGGTATTTAATGATTTTTTGAAAGCAGGAGATCCCCAAGCTTTCTCCAGTTGTGGCTAGCTTTCTCATTGTTTCTTTCTTTAGAAAAATGGAGTCTGCTACATTTAAAAAGGGTCAGAAGAGTGAAACTGGCATAGCAGAAGCTGAAGAGACGGAGGTTCTACTGCAATCAGAACACAGTCAGAGTGGGCCCTTATTGAAAACATTTTGGAGCATGTTTGGAACCTATTTCCTTCTCGGCACTGTCTGCTTAGTTATCTGTGATGTCTTCTTGTTCTCCATCCCAAAGTTACTGAGGTATGTGCATATTTATAATGTATAATGTATTATTTTCACATGTACAAGATTGGTGTGTGCATGAGCTCACACAGAGATGTGTATTCCAGCACTCACAGCGGTGGACACACAAACACTTCTCTTTTGAACTCTTGGTCTTTAAGAGAAGTTCAGAAAATTACTTCCTCAGATTATGGCTCCCAATTTGCATATTTCTGACAAATTAATGAAATTCAGGAGCTATCCTTAACATTGAAAATTAGTCTCCCCTGAGAAGATGCTGACATTAGAAATTGCTTCAAAACCAAGAGTGGCTAAATGTAAAAAAACAGGATATTATAAGGCATAGAATACTTAGCAGCTTTTCCAACTCTTCTGCTATTTTAATGATAAACATCAGCCAGAGATAATGCAGAAAAATCCCTGGTATTTCTGCATTTTTGTGTGTTTGATATTTCATCACTTCTACATGGATTCATCGACATTTGCTCCTGTCTTGCAGCCTTTTCCTGGAGTTCTTTGAAGATCAAGAAGCACCTAGCTGGCATGGTTATTTCTATGCCTTCACTATGTTCCTTTTGGCTTGTCTTCAGACTCTGTTTGAACAACGGTATATGTACATGTGTCTTGTTCTGGGGTTGAGACTGAGAACTGCAGTAACAGGGCTTGTGTATAGGAAGGTGAGTCTGTAGCTTCCTTTTCAGCTTCATTTTTTTCTAGCCCTACATTAGCAGTTACGACGCTGTTGGTACATTGCTCTTAACAATATCAGGGGAGATGTTATTAGAAACTAATTTTAGGATGTAATTCTGTGCTATCTTCACCTCTAAACAATGTGTGGGAAGTGTTGTACTATTTGTTTTTCAGATCTTACCTCTGAAGGAAAAGCCACGAAAAGGAAAGAGGAAAAAACAACATAAACTTACGCTGTAGATTATGGTTGGGGAAAGGGAGTAAATTCTTCATCTTAAAGTGAAGTCACATATCCCAGGCAACAGCATGTTTTCAGTACCTAGGATTTGACATTTTTCTCCATCTCTCTTTTTTTTTTTTTTTAAATAAGGAAAAGAAAATTGTTTGATTTTTGGACCAAAGCTGTTGTATGATGCCACTTTTCCTTATTTCTCTACCCTGTCTAGATCCTAGTGATGTCAAATGCATCAAGGAAAGCAGCAACAGTCGGTGAAATTGTTAATCTGGTATCTGTTGATGTCCAAAAGCTAATGGATCTGATTATCTATTTTAATGGGACCTGGCTTGCTCCTGTTCGGATTATCATCTGCTTTGTTTTCTTGTGGCAGGTAAAACACAACAGTACCTATCACTCCCTTTCGATTCTAGGTAAGAAAAAAGGGGTATTCAGAATTTTTCTTAGAGCTTTGCTGGTCTGAGTAACCTGAAATTGCCATGTTTTTCTTAGCTCTGTAGCATGGCGGATTCACTTTTCTTTTTAGAAGATATTTTTATTGGTATGGAATCCTTACCTGATCCTTCACTTATCTTCTCACACATGTATTCAGCATTCAGGCTCTTTTAGGAAAAGACTGTGAGTATGATTATTCTGAGCTGACTGGTAAACTTCTGCCTGAGATTTTTGCTCTGTCACCTCTCTTTTCAACCATAATGTGGTGTCCCAGTGCAGGCTGAGAGTCCACATCCAGCTCCTTAGCATAGTTACAGAACATAAAGGGGAACGGTCTGAAATAGCAACTTGACATACTTCATCCTGAAGCCTGATTGCCACAAGATCAGTGAAACAGTTTGAAGCAAAGTTATATGATATTCCAAGAGAGTATTGGATGCATTGCATTGCATTACATAAGAGTTTATCAAAGAGAGAGCAAAACCTGAATTAGAAACAAAGGATGATAATCTAAAGGATCCTTTTTTCCCCTATATGGTATTTTCTCAGGAGGATAAAGTCCTATTTCTTAGTCCCTGTTTTTGGCAGCACAAGCACTACAGAGACAGTTGATTCCCAGGAGCTTTCCAGAGGCCTTTGAGACCTTCCCTCGCTAACCAGGATGGACTGTGCCTTGTGCCTGGCAGGATACTATAACCTTGGAAAATTCATTACAGACTATAGTTATATAATGGACTGCTGAAAAATCTTCATCCCTTTTCTGGCAATGTTGACAAGCTGAATGTGGTTGTGTGGAGTTGGAACATAATTAAGACTTTATTTGCTAGTGTTTATAGACCATTTGTGTAGAGAATACTTTTATCTCTTTGTGTAGATCAACACTCACCTCTCACGTAAGCTGTCTGTAGAGAGATGTAACTAAGCCATGAGCAATAAGTTCTCTATTTTGACAGGCTGGGTTATTTATGCTGCAAGAATAGTTCGTTGAGGGTTTGGGTTTGTTTTTTTAAAGAAAATCTGGGGGGTTTTTCGGGTCACTTACTTATGCCAACCACGAGATGTCCTCCTTAACACATCCAAGAACAGATGGGAAGAAATAAAAATTACTTGAATTGCCAGCATGCTTCTGGATAGCTTCCAAAACTGATCTAGTTCCTAAAAGGGAAGCAAATAAATACATCAGAGGATGATGATAGGAGTTACCCTGCCTGGAGATTTAACAACCCACAGCGCGTAGAGAGCATAATTCCTGAGAAAGGCAAATGCAAGATTAGACTAAAGCCTTAGCCCTGAGGGATATTAGACATAGATTCAAATAAGAGGAAAGGTGAGAAAAGGGGAATGGAAAACAGTTGTTTTCAGTAATCACCAAAAGTTCTTTCCTTTCCTCTCCTGGCAGCTTCTTGGGCCATCTGCCTTGACTTCAATTGCTGTATTCCTTTTTCTTTTGCCTCTGAATTTCATGATCACCAAGAAGAGGAGTCATTTTCAGGTACATTTTGCTTAATAAAAATGAAGTGGTTTGCTGACTTGAATTATGCTAGGATACTTCTTTTAAATCTAAGTTAAAGGCTGCCATGCTCTTCCAGGAAAGGATCACATGGAACCCAAAGCTACTGATGATTACAGTAGGCATGCATGTGGCGGGCGGGGGGAAGAGAAGTAATATTGTACTGAAGTGTATCACTAACATTCAACATCAAGTGATGGCTTCATACTTATTATTCTGGCATATATAATATTATATGCTGGCCGTGACTGAAGGAAATAGGAGGATTCAAAGCTTGCAAAGTTTCTTGAAGTTTAGAGTAAGCTCTTGCATGTTCAGTCTCTCACCTTGTTTGCCTGCTTTTTCTGTATTTTGTATGTATTGCCAGTAAAAATAAAGCTCTGAAGATGAAAAGCAAAATGTTTCCCAGCCCAGAAGATTCATAAGCAAAACAGTATACACAGCTCAACTGCAGGGAAATTTATTCAAGATTCATAGGCAGGAATAAGGTATTTTTTCAGAATAATTGCACTGTTAAATATTCAGCCTCTTAAATGATAAAACTCAAATATTTATTACAGGAGACCCAGATGAAACATAAAGATGAGCGGGCCAAACTCACCAATGCCATTCTCAGCGACATTAAAGTAATCAAAATGTATGGCTGGGAAAAAGCCTTCATGGAGAAAGTGCTTGGTATCCGGAAGGAAGAACTTCAGGCCCTAAAAAGATCTCAGATTCTCTTCTCAGCATCTCTAGCTTCTTTCCATTCATCAACTTTCCTGGTGAGTGGTTCACCTTCCTACATGTCCTATTACTTCCATTTCTCTTTGTACTCCTGCCTGGACAGATTTTTCCTGTGGGACAGCTAAAGATAATATCTGGGTGGAAGACATGGTGGTCTCACAGGAGTTACTGAGCCCCAGTGGACTCAGCCCCACAGACATTTACGCTGTCCTAACAATTCCATGGACAAGTTGTCCAGTCTGGCACTGTGCTCCAGGTAGACTGATCCTGCTTTGCAAGAACGACCTGGAGACCTCCAGGCGAGGCAGAGTTCATGGCACAGTCAGTAGCTGCACAAGCCACTTTTGTCCTTGCTGTTGCAGCTCCCATGTGTGTTTTCAATGGGAAATGGCTGTGCTTTCACCTTGCTGTGGTTGCAGCACCAGAACTTCCTTAAAGCATAACAAATGTCAAATAATCAAATAAAACTTGTTTTTGTCACTGACATGTAAGACTTTTGCCTATGATGTTTGCAGGATGGGTACCATGTGTATGAGTGACAGCCTGAGTTTAACTAATTGGGTTCCAGAGTCTTTACAAAGGGGCCTGTCACCCTTGAACTATTCTCTTCCCTGTCTGAAGCAAATAGTTTGTGTTTGCTTTTCCTTCACTCCCTTTCAGATTGCATTTGTCATGTTTGCTGTCTACACCCTGGTGGATAACACACATGTCCTGGATGCTCAGAAGGCCTTTGTGTCTTTAACACTGATCAACATTCTCAACACTGCGCACTCCTTCCTGCCCTTCTCCATAAATGCTGCTGTCCAGGTTAAGTGCAGGCTATGTTCCTTTTTTTTTGGCCATAAGTGGTTTTTTACCTATCACCATTAACAGGTAAAGGTAGGGATTTCTTGGGGTTTTGAATGTAAGGCCTAGCTAATTGCTTTTGTGAACCTGTGAAGTGCAAGGACTTGCAGCTAAAGGTACTTTGTGGTATTGTTTTTTTCAGAAAGGTTCCATATATTGACAAAATAGTTGCCAACAACAACTCTTAAGTCTTTTGGGGCCAATCACAAGCACCATTAGATCTCAGAGGTGCTTCCAGTTCTGTTTTAAATCACAGAAATCAGAACAGATGGAGCAAAATCTCCATGGGAGATCAGTGGAAACCCTGACAGCCCAGGCTGGAGAGAAAAGCAAGTCATTGCTAGATAAGAAATTGGGAAATTAATTTTGCTCTTGTACCCCAAGAAGACCGTCACAGCTCTTCATGTACAGAAGCAATCACTGGAAAGATTGCAGAATGCATTGGAGGAAAAAGCACCAAATCACTGTGTGAACAGAGGAGAAAACACAGGGGAGAATGTGTTTTTTGCTAAGCCAAGTGGAAATAAAGGCAGTTAACATAAGGAAGAGCTACATTTGTCCATCTAAGCCTACAGCATTTGCAACATAGCACCTAGTCAACGTTCTAAGTGGGTCTTCAAGTACAGTCTTCACTTTGTCTTTTAGTTCCTTTTCTATTCTAAATCTTATTCTTTTGTGTGCTTCTTCATTTCAGGCCAAAGTTTCTTTAAATCGCTTAGCAGCTTTTCTGAATCTGGAAGAACTGAAGCCTGAAGGCTGGAGCAGAAACACTTCTGAATGTGGTGAGCTTTTGTGTTAGTAATGTGGTCTTAGAAGAGAAGTAGCTTCCATTGTTCAGCTTTCACTCTTAGGGTGCTTACCATAGTCAAGAGAGAAGAATGTTTGCCCCATACTGTCACTTCATCTCTCAGGCCTATTTATTTCTAACGATGAAATTGGTAATGAATCTGGTAATTAACACCTTCTTTTCATACTTAAGGGTCATTTTATGTAATATAAACACACACTGAAACATAAAGTCATATGACTTACAAATTTACAAGGGTTCTATTTCTTCTCATATTTTAGTACAGGCAAGTATCACCATAAGAAATGGGACTTTTTGCTGGAGCAAAGAAACTTCTCCTTGTCTTAGAAGGTAAAGACTTACCCTGAGTCATCTCAATTATGTAGGTCAGGGTAGATGCTGAATAAACTAATTCCTCAGGGCCTCAGTGAAACCAGTGTGGAATATCTAGAGGCTTCTGGGTTTGCTTCATATTTAACATTGAATTCTGAAAATTAAAGTATGTAATCTTTATGTAATCTTGCTTTTATGCTTGGGAGCACATAAATAGGAAAGTGCTTGTATGTGGATGTTGCCTTAATATATGGAGACTGCTTTCTTTACCCAATTTTCTTGTCCAAATATCAAATTACACTAAGTTAAGTCAAAAAGGTAGAACTGATGGTATGCAGCTATTACATAAGACATCACTACATGCTTATTTTAAAAGGCATTGCAGTTTTAGGGAAGAAAAAGTGTTGAAAAGTTCCAGTGTTAAGGAGTGTTTTCTATCCAGTGCTTTGGGCTAGCCTTATCTCTAGAGCTGGGATCTGGGTTTGAAACTCAGATGGGGATATGGAAGAAGACTTTCTGGTCTTTGAAGGGATGACTCCTGTTCTGCTGCAAAAAGTCAGCATGATGGGAAGAGTAGCGCTGTGCAACTGAGGCCTCAAGTATGAAATCAGTGGGTTTAGTTGGTACATTTTTATTGCCACAAGACAATAGCAATAATTTTGGTCATTTTCTCTTCAGAAAGTGTATCGAAAAGGTGATAAGAGACTAATCTTTTCTCTATAGGATAGATCTTACCGTGCCCCAAGGTTCCTTGCTTGCTGTAGTTGGCCAGGTGGGTGCTGGGAAGTCCTCTTTGCTGTCAGCGTTACTGGGTGAGCTGGAGAAGATGGATGGCTGTGTGACCATGAAGGTAAACTTTTCACTGAGCATTTGCTTCTAATTATTCTGTCTTCAGGATCAGTAAGGTATTAACCAAGGCATCAGGTACTTAATGAAAACCCATTTACTGCTGAATTTTAACAAAGGCTGTATATAGCAGCCGCATTTAATTATCTGAAGGTGCTTGAGAACTCTCAAATGAGCCTGGCCCTTGGGAATCCAGTTCCATTTCCCACTCTGACAGTGAGCTGAAGTGGCATGCCGGTAAATTGTGTCATGTACTTGCATCTCTGTTTCCTCCTCTGTAAGACAATGAGAGTGCAGACTCATATTTTAGAAAGCCCTCTGAGATCTATCAATCATGATGATCGCTACAGATTTCTATAAATCTAAATGGGAGAGTTTCTTCAAAGACTGGTTCCCACAGTCTCAAGTTGAGCTTATGAAAAGGCCTGTGAACATTCTTCAACTTCCATTTTTATAGGACACTGCAGCCTATGTACCCCAGCAAGCTTGGATACAAAATGCTTCAGTGGAAGATAATATTCTCTTTGGGAAGGAGATGGATGAAACATGGTTCAATAGAGTGATAGATGCTTGTGCACTGCAACCTGATTTGGAGAGCTTCCCTGCAGGGCGGAAGAGTGAAATAGGAGAGAAGGTATGGGCGTGGGTTTATATTTTGTTCAGCTTTTCCATGAGTAGCTACAACTCTGTGTGTCCTGGTTAAAACACCTACAAAAAGACTGCACTTGCAGGAGGCAGGTGCTCAGTAATTTCTGAAAAGTTGGGCTATGATTTAATGGGGCTGAAGCCCACCTCCCGACAGTTAAGCTAACCAGAGAGATGAGACATACTTAAGGCAAAAATCAACGAATCCAGGTGATTCTTGGGTCCTCTTTTGCAGGAGAGTGGAGTTGCTCAAGAGAATCTGCCTCTGCATCTCAAGAGCCCTATGTGGAGGGGGGGGATACACTGATTTAAAAATAAGGAGGTCATAAACCTTCAGTGTAAAATGGAGCCAAAAGCTGGCAAATATGCTGTAGCTTTGGAATAAACAGTGTTAATACATTTTTACAGGGAATAAATATATCTGGAGGGCAGAAGCAAAGAGTGAACCTTGCTCGTGCTGTATACCAGAAAGCTTCGATTTACCTACTCGATGACCCCCTCTCAGCTGTCGACGCCCATGTTGGACAGCACATTTTTGAACATGTTCTTGGACCCAACGGCTTACTGAAGGACAAGGTGTGTTATAAATCCTGAACTGTAAAGGATCACAAAATGTATTTCATTATAAAGGCTCCTGAAACGTTTCCAGTAAGGTGGGTTACTCACTTTATCAAAGGCTCCCAAATTCTTTTTTTGCTAATGGCAGCAGGCACTACTGTTAGCAACAGCGTAAGTGCAATGGGTAACCTCCACAGTCCACACAGCACACGAAAGTCCTGCAGTGAACCTCCCCTAGGAGGAAGACCGAAAAGTTAGGTTCCCCCGAAAGACTGTCTTTATCCTCATGCAAACCACACATCTAGTTCCAGCCTTACTTCTACATCAAGTTTATAGTTCTTTCATCTTCTGTCAACATTATCCTTCTCCCCTTTTGAGATTTACTTCTAGTATAGTTAGGACGAGCTGTCTGATCTCTTCCAGCTCACTGGATCTTAGCATAATGTCTAATCACATCACTTTTGAAAAGTACAGTGGTGCCTTTACAGTTCTCATCACCCAAATGTTCATCACTTAAACTTCAGTCTTAAAATCCCTCTTAAACACTCCTCTTCCATGCCTTTTTGTATTGCTTGTGTTTTGTTATTCCTTGGTATTTCTCTGCTGTCAAGCTATCTGGATAATTATTGTGGTTACATGAGAAGGGATGTAGGGCAGCTCTATTTATTTCATGGCATAAATTGCCTAAAAATACTTGATTCAGTTTCACATTGTAGATGGAAAATAAGTATTTTCTTTCATTAGAAAGTCCAATTAAAGCAGATAAGTCTGATTACAGATACATTTCTCTTCATGTGGACTGGTTGCCAGTATCAGAATGTAATTATTGTATTGAAACAGAAAGACTGGCAAAGAAAGAATGTATCAGACTCAAGCAGTACTCAAAGGGATTAATTGTATATTATAAACATAGAACATGCCAATTTGTTATCTAGGGAAAAATTACTTTTCTTGTGTCCTTTCCTACATGTAATTATCTGTGCAAATATGCGCAGAAATGTAAATGAAAAGCAGCTTCACTCTAACTCCATTCCAGTCAATGAAGTTTTCAGGCACCAATTTGATTTTGAAATATTGATAACAGTGACAGTGTACCAGTACAAGTTGGGTGCTGAGC